CCAGCCCCACGGCTCTCTCTCTGCCCCAGGCCTTGATCACTGGACATTCGCCCCTCCCAGCTTCCCACCCCTCCCTCCAGCTCACCCCACATACCCTCATGGCCTGCCCCACGGCAGCCCCTTTGCCCCTTCCTGGCTCTCCCCTGCTGCCCCTCAGTGCCTCTTCCCAAGCCCCCGCCAGCCCCCTAATCTTCCCCGCTGCCCCTGCCCACATCCCTCTCCGTCCGCAGTGCCAGGGCGAAGGCAGCATGTCCTCTGTCGCCCGCTGACATAGGACCCCTGGGCCTGGTGCCCGGCGAGCATGTGACCAAACTGCCCGGCCAGCCCCAAGAGGCAGGGAGCGGGTCCTCCCCCGCCCAGCCCCATGGGCAGCATGGCCCAGGCTGGAGATCCCGGCCTGGCACCTCCAGGCCCAGCTCTCCCCAGCGTTCCAGATGGGCAGCTCCGGGTGGGGGGCGGATCCGTGTGCAAAGCTCTGGGGTGCCTCGAGCAGGGGGCTTGGCACATGCCATGCGCCAATGCCCCGGTGATGGGCATGAGAGCCTGACAGAGCAGGTGGGCGCTTGGCTCCTGGAGACACATGGGCTGGCTCTTGTCTCTCCCCCCAGGTACGGCTGCCGGCCACACATCTCCACTCAGAGGAAGCAGGTAGGTGGGGGGCCGGCGGGTGGGCTGGGGGGCACTGCCCGGTTGAGTGGCTTCGCTCATCTGTGCAGCGAATGCATCGCTCCTCAGCCCCACAAGCTCTGCTGATGCCCCTCACTCCCGACCCGCAGCCCCCTAGTATCCCCCCATACCTCAGTACTGCTCTGCTGATGCCCCTCCCTCCCGACCCACAGCCTCTCCCTTCAGTACTGGTTCTCCCTTCTGGTTAGACAGCTAATTAAAGGCACCAGAGCGGCCGCACCCGCTCAGCCTGATGATGCCCCGAGCCCAGGTGCGTCTCCCACCAATTCCCTATGCCCGTGAGGACAGTGTGACCGTCGCCCCACCCCTTCCTTTCCTGGGGGGCCGACCCTTCCTGACTCAGCTGGAGAGTCAGTGGCCACCCTGAGCCCCAGATACATCCCTGGCTTGTCACGGTCACAAACAAGGCTGAGACGCACCTGAAACTGCTCCGGCCGCACCCCGAACTCGGGGCTGGGGGCCCTGGCACATGTTGCCCGTGGCCCGGCCAGCTGTGGGCATTTGGGGCAGGAATGGCTGGGGCAAAGCGAGGTGCCAGCTTCTCAAGGGGGAAGGGCTCACGCGGCAGCAGAAAGTGCTGTGGGGGCCCCTGGTGCCACACCCGCCCGTCACCCCGCCCCAGGCCTGCAGGGATGGAGGCCCAGTGTGTGACCTCGCCCCACTAGGTTCCTGCCTAAATCCAGATCTCAGGAGAGCAGGCGCTGATGCCAGGATGATGGGCTCCGGTACCAAGGATGCAGGTTCCAACGCCAGGGTGATGGGCTCCAGCAAGGGCTCCGGTACCAGGGATGCAGGCTCCGATGCCGGGGTGATGGGCTCCAGTGATGGCTCCGGTACCAAGGATACAGGCTCTGATGCTGGGGTGATGGGCTCCGGTACCAGGGATGCAGGCTCCGATGCCGGGGTGATGGGCTCCAGTGATGGCTCCGGTACCAGGGATGCAGGCTCCGATGCTGGGGTGATGGGCTCCAGCGTGAGCACCGAGGCTGGGCAGGCTGGCTGCGACGCTGGCACCAATGCGGAGGCCGTGGACTCAGACACCAGGAGCCTCCCTTTGCCCGCCGTGATCCCGGCGCTGTGCCCAGAAGCCGCGTTCCAGGGCCCCGAGGCCGAGCCCTACATGCATTTCCTGAGGAACCACCACTGCTATGCCGCTGTCCCCACCAGCTCCAAGTTGCTGGTGTTCGACACCACGCTGCAGGTGAGAGCCGAGGGGCTGGGCCATGGGGCTGCCCTGGGTGTTAGGGGCTGGGGGCAGGCGGGGTGAGTGGTTCTGGAGGTGCCCGATCCCTCCCTCCATTCCCAGCAGTCCTGTAGCCCCGTAAGGCAGGGTGGGGGGGCGAATGGGGGCTGCCCTGTCCTTCCCCCCCACCACCAGTGGTCTCACGGCCCCTCTGTTCGGCTTGCAGATGAAGAAGGCCTTCCTGGCGCTGGTGGCCAATGGGGTGCGGGCCGCCCCCCTCTGGGACAGCAAGCAGCAGTGCTTTGTGGGTGAGTGCCGCGGGGGGCAGCGAGTGCCAGGCAGCCTCGGCTAGTCGCGATGGCACAGAACGGGGGGCTGCATCATGCGCCCTGCACTGGGATGCCCAAGCCCTGCTGGATCGGCACAGGTCTCAGCAACACCCACCCCCACAATGCCCAGTGTGGCACCGACACCCCCCTTGATGCCCAGCATGGCACAGAACCCCTCCTGCTCCAGGGCACGGTTTACTCCCGGCCCAGTTCCCACACCCCTCTCTGCTTGGCCTCGCGCCCATGAAGCCAGTGGCTCTGCAGCCGCTGGCACGTGACCCGCTGGATTTGTTCACCCCTTGTAGGCTGGCACCCAGGTGGCCCCCGTTTCTGGCTCAGTGGAGAGGCCAAGCCGTGAATGGGCCGTGGGGCCCGGCTGCCTCTTCTCCTGGGAGTGGGTGGGGGCGCCGTGCCATGGGGCACTGCGTGGGGAGCTGAGGGTGCTACCGCCCAGCCGGTGTGCGCCCTGTGGGCAGATGGCTTTGCCCGGCAGGGCTGTGAAGCCAGCCGCTGGGGAATGGCCGTGGTGCCCCCAGCCAGCTGCCCCCACTGACCCTGCCCATCTCTCCCGCCAGGGATGCTGACCATCACAGATTTCATCAACATCCTGCACCGCTACTACCGGTCCCCGCTGGTGAGCTGGCCAGGTCCCTGCCCTCCTGGGGGCAGCTCCCCCCCCCAGATCAGACTCCCCCCCAGGCGGGGAGAGGGCTCAGGAACCGCTTGTGGGGTGGGAAGAAGGGCGGGCAGGATGTTACACCGCTGGGCACGTGCCGGGGCCGTTGAGCTCCTGGTGTGGGGGCAAGGCAGGGAGGAGCTGGGAGGGGGGTGCTGTGTTAGTGCTAGAGGCAGAGCGTGTCCCCTGGGCAGTGCCGGCCGGCTGGGGCCACGTCCGTCCTGGTGCCAGCCACGGGAGGAGACAGGATCCCAGGCTAGATGGGCCCATGGGCAGACCTGCTCAGGCAGACCCCGGGTACGTCCGTGCGGGTGCCCTGCCTTTGGGATCTGCCTCCCCAGTGTGGCGTGTGATGCCGGTGGGGCCCGAACGGCCATCTGACGCCAAGGGGGGGCCACGTTGCCACCCCGTTGAAGTCCCTCTTGGGAGTCGCGCAGCCAAAGGCAGCCCCTGACCAGAGGCAGTTCCCCAGCAGCCCCCCAACGGGTCCCTGTTTGCCACCTGTCCGGGCATCCTGCCTCACCCCCTCTCCCTGCATTGCAGGTGCAGATCTATGAGCTGGAAGAGCATAAAATTGAGACCTGGCGAGGTAGGGAGAAGGGGGAAGAGGGGGAGGAGGGAAGGTGTGTGTAGGTGCAGGGGCCTGGGGGGGTGTATAGCAGTGGGGGGTGGGGGGTGAGGTGGGGGTGCGTTGGGGCGGTGGGAGTTACAGATCCTTCCCCTGCCTGATCCGCCCCCCCCCGGGCCCTGATCCCTTGCCGGGGGGCTGCCCTGGGCACCGGGAGCTGCAGGTCAGATGCTGCTGCCCCTGCTCAGAGGATCTGCCCGCCCCAGCCTGCCCCACGGGCCTGAGTTGTCTGGCACCTGCACCCTGCTGCCCTGGCGCCCCAGCCATGCCCTGGCGGAGACCAGGGCAGACTCCAGCCCCCCTGCTCGCCCCCTCCGCCA